AGCTACATGGGTCTCCCCCAAGGCTCATGTTTAAGCCCCCTTTTGTACAATTTCTACGTTAGAGAAATTGATGTCTGTCTTAGTGACAATTGCACGTTGAGACAACTTGCAGATGACGGCGTAGTGTCTATCACAGGGCCAAAAGAGGTTGACCTGCAAGGACCCTTACAGGATACCTTGGACAATTTTTCTACTTGGGCTATTCAGCTAGGTATAGAATTCTCCATGGAGAAAACTGAGTTGGTCGTTTTTTCTAGGAAGCATAGCCCAGCACAACCGAAGCTTCAACTTTTGGGTAAACCGATCACTCATTCCATATCTCGGGGTATGGTTCGATTCCAAATGCACCTGGAGATCCCACATTGAGTATCTGAGACGAAAATGCCAACTAAGGATCAATTTCCTTCGATCAATTACCGGAACGTGGTGGGGAGCCCATCCACAAGATCTTCTGACGTTGTACCGGACAACGATTTTATCGGTTTTAGAGTACGGTAGTTTTTGCTTCCAGTCGGCAGCTAAAACGCACATCATCAAGCTGGAACGGATCCAGTATCGTTGTCTTCGTATCGCGTTAGGATGCATGCACTCGACTCATACTATGAGTCTCGAAGTGCTGGCGGGCATGTTGCCACTATCCGTCCGTTTTTCAGAGTTATCTCTGAGGCTCCTCACCCGTTGCGAAGTAATGAACCCACTGGTGATTGAAAACTTTGAGAAGCTTCTGGAGCTAAATCCTCAAACATGTTTTATGACTTTGTACTACCTATATTTAACACAGGATGTCAGCCCTTCAAGAAATATTTCCAATCGTGTAGTCTTCTCCGATTTCGACAATTCTGTGAATTTTGATTTATCTATGACGCAGGAAATCCGCGGAATTCCAGAGCGTCATCGTCCTATAATTGCTCCGTCATTATACTCTGCAAAGTTTGGCCATGTTGATTCTGCAAGAACGTTTTTCACAGATGGATCTCTAATAGTGGAGTCCGCTGGTTTTGTTGTATTTAATGAATTTCATAGCGCCTCTCGAAAACTTGAAGCTCCTTGTTCTGTGTATGTGGCTGAACTGGCAGCAATTCACTACACTTTGGAAACTATTGCTTCACTTCTTCCAGACCACTACTTTATTTTTACGGATAGTCTCAGTTCTGTCGAGGCTATCCGTTCCATTAGGCCGGTAAAGCACTTCTCGTATTTTCTCTTGAAAAAACGAGAACTGCTTAGTGCTTTATCCGTGTGCTCTTTCATCATCATCTTCAACTGGGTCCCTTCGCATTGCTCTATTTTGGGCAATGAGAAGGCGGATTCACTTGCGAAGGTGGGCGCTATGGAAGGCGACATTTATGATCGACAAATCGCCTATAGTGAATTTTTCTCTATTTATCGTCAGCAGTCGCTTGTTAGCTGGCAACATCAATGGAGTGAAGGGAGCTTGGGACGATGGCTACATTCAATTATCCCTAAGGTGTCGAAGTTTGCATGGTTCAAAGGGTTGGACTTGAGTCGAGACTTCATTCGCGTGATGTCTCGTCTCATGTCCAATCACTATTGTCTGAACGCTCACTTGTTCTGTGTGGGGTTGGGAGACAGCAATCTCTGTGATTGTGGACAAGGTTACCAGGACGCTGATCACATCCTTTGGTCTTGTGCGGAGTATCGTGGAGTCAGATCACATTTTTATGATTCCCTTCGGGCTCGAGGTAGACAACCTAATGTTCCAGTTCGGGATATTTTGGCTAGACGCGATCTGGAGTTTATGAAACTCATATATGTTTACTTTAAGGATATTAACCTTAGATTGTAAGTTTGATTAACCTTGTGTTTAGTTTGTATTTTGTACGTCTAGGGGTTTTTTTTTCAATGTTTGTTTTCAAGATGAATAGAAATAATTTCATGCTTTTGGATTAATTAAATAGTTGTATCGTAAACCACATTTAAAACCTTCTTCTTCCCTTTTCCCATCCAAAAATTGTAAATCTCCACTAACCTCGAGGCGACCGTGAGTACTCGGTCCAGTTCCTTTAACTTTAAATATAAGACAGTAATAATGTATAACGCAAAGGATAGCTCGGCTCTGTAAAGTTTATTCGATTGAGCCTGTATTTTTTTTTCCGTCGATCTTGTTTTCCGTGCTGAGCACCAATGCTACCGACGTGCCAGGAAGGCAGCTCCCACACCTGGACCCTACCTATCGACCCATCAACTCATGAACCGGGGACCAACGGCTTTACTTCCCATCCGAAGGAAGGCATGATCAGAGATGTTATGCCTCAGAACATCCCGGCGGCGCCGACTGGGATTGAACCCAGGCCTGCTGGGGTGGATTGAGCCTGTACAAATAAAGTAATTACAAAAAAAGACAGTTTTTAACTTTTTTGCCAGACTGTAAAAGGTTTTTAAAACAGCAAAAAGCTGAATTACTAATCAAGAATGTTTTACACTTTGAAATGCTGTATTTATACTAAATGGATTGTTCATTGTCGTTATAAAACCATCATAAATCAGAGTGGATGCCAAATGCTTACTGAATTGTTACTTGGGATGTCTGTTGGTCGGTCCTATAAATATGCCTGAAAAATATTCGAACATTTGTTTCAATATAGACAAATATCAAATTATCAAAAGTTTCAAGCTAATGGATCAGCTTTGGATCTCCCGGACTTCGTTAATTAAAGATCTTGGGAACCCTAGTAACACAAATTCATAGAATTATGTTGAGTAAACTAATTTACAACCAAAAATAGTCATATAAAGGTTATATAGCCTGTTATAGAACATGTGTGCTGCTTGGGAAACTTACCTAGATTCCGAGACTTATATAATTTTTTTTAGAGAAATTCTTCGGGATAAGAATAACATCAAAATTATGATGTTAAAACTTCGAAAAATCGAGAATGTTGTGGATAAAGGTAAAATGAAAACACTCAGTTATAAAAGAATCATGAAAAATCAGATTATAATTAGATTTTCTTCAAATTCTTAAGATACCTACCGGAGTTAAAATGTCCAGATTCTAATGTTTGATGGAAAAAAGAAAATTATAAAGCAATTATCTAGATTTTTTTCGACACCTCGGACTAACTAACTTTCAAGATCACGAAGTTATATTTAAATCAAGAATCATGTCCCTAAAGCGGCACCGGTGGTGTAGTGGTAAGCGTGATAGCCTCTCACCCCAGCAGGCATAGGTTCTACCCCAGTTGGCGCTGCCGGGATGTTCTGAGGCATAACATCTCTGATCACGCCTTCCTTCGGAGGGGAAGTAAAGCCGTTGGTCCCCGGTTCATGAGTTGATGGGTCGATAGGTAGGGCCTCCCTGGCGTCGGTAGCATTGGTGCTCAGCACGGAAAACAAGATCGACGGAAAACAAATCAAGGAAAAAAAAAGAATCATTTCCCAAATGTTACTTTAATTCCAATCGAAAGGAATGAACTCCAAACTTGTATGATTGTGTCCCTGTTTTTGAACTAGATGCTAATCGAATTTATTTCTACAAGTGCATTTCTGGATCGAGGGGGAGGGGACCTGGCCCCCTAGGCACCCCCCTTAGCTACGCCAATGTTGGCCATGTTGCGATCCTTTGTATACATATCGAAGACAGTATATTACACTTTCAGAGCGACACTAAGTGAGTTCGAACTTCGAGCAACGAGTAATTGATGTTTATCTAAGGTACACTTTCAAAGCACTTCAACTTTTCTTCCAATAACCGAATCATTTTCTTGAAGAATGTTTGTATAAAACTTTCCCCATTCAACTGATCGCCCATTACTGTCACAAAGCAAGTATCTACAATTTACTTCTCACTTCTTAAAACTTCAGATTCAACACACCCACCCACCACCCAGAAAAGATTGGTACCTTAAGCAGAGCTCCTTCCCCGCTGTGTGATTCTGTTTAGCAAAGCTAATTTCCACGGAAAATCAAGTGAAGAACAGCATCCCACCTTCGAAATCCAGCAGCATCACAAACAGTCCCAAAAAAAAAAACAAAAAAAAAAAAAACTTTGCACTACCTTGGCAAATTAAATTCAGTTACTGGCAACCATGGCAGTGCTATATGTTAGCAACTCATCTAACCTCCCCGGGTTGTTCGCGTGAGGAACAGGCAAGCGAACACAAAATGATTATAATCGCGTAAATATTTAAACAAAGATGGCATTTATGCTTCCTTACTGGTGAAAGTACTTCGCCAAAGCTCCTCAGCAGTAAAAGCTCTTCCCCAAGTAGGTGGGTCGGTAGATACGTTTTGTGATTATCTGGCTTCTTATTCCGTTTCGAAGCGCAAACATTCGCGATTGCTTGCGCTCGCTCGCTTCTTCAAACAAAGACAATCTCAAGAAACTTTTTTTTTTAATCTTTTAACTAAATATAAAATTTTCACTCCAAATTAGGGCTCCCATATCTCAAGGCCCATCGCCGTTCTTCGCACACAGTTAACGGATGTGAATACAGTTATTTATGCTGTTGTTGTTTGTGTTGCTTCTTTATTTTAGGGAAACGAGAAACGGCAGGGGGAGTTGGAATCTGTTAAGGTTTGGCAGCTGAAAATTAGAGTGAAAACCTTTTTTTTCCAAGAGTCGTTACGCACCTGGCGCACGAGGTCGAGTTGCCAGAAGAATGTCGGAAGTTTTTGCCAGCAGGGTGAACAGCTCAATTTTAGTAATGGGTGTGAAAGTTGATGAAGCCACAAGCTCTACGATGTGGAAAAATATGTTCGGAAATACTTTCTTGATGGATCCTTTTCCGAAATGCTTTGTGCTAACTCTGTCCATGAAAAACAGCGTTTTATCATGTCGAAAAATCAATCTATTCAAATCTAAATACAAACATAAACATAAGCAGTAGTTGATGCAAATAACTTTGGCCTAATCCTGCCCTCGTCAAATAAATTTTTTATCGAATTCATCTCAAATTAAGCCATTACGCTAATTTTACGAACCCAAATTGCCCCTTAATCTGAACGAGACCGTACGACTTTTGCCCCTCCATACTCACCTTGAAATTTTACGATTTCGTGCCCTGGCAGCAAACGAACGCCGTCACAAGTAGCAGCAAATAATTATCAATTCCCGCCTAATCCGTCGACTTGTAAATTAATACCTCAAATAATGTCCGCGACTTCTGGTTTGACTTTTCCGAGGGAAAGTTCTGTTCTCGCTGATGCTTTCTTGTAGCAAATAACAAGCGCAAAGCGATGGCAGCAGCGTAAATGATCGCCTTCAACCAGCAGCGAAAGCAAACTTAGCAGATCACACCACGGCGCGAACAAATGACGAACGATGATGCGACGATGACTATGGCTATGGCTGCTCAATTTGAATTATATACGGTCGCTTTCAGTTGCACGGTTGGCGAAAAGTTTGTCTCGGTTTCTATTTGTGCTTTTTGTTTTCATATCGCGGCTTTACGGACTAAATACTGTCAGCAGGTTTTTCCTCGTCGTCTTCTGTTTCTGAAAATGGGAGGAAACGGAAACGGTGCATTAGTTGTGGAGTTTTTTTTTTTTTTTTAAATTTGAATGGTAAGTTGTCACAAAGTTGAAATAGGATAGATATGATCGCTTGGGATTACTCGGTAGATTATGAACTAAAATATTTTGTGGAAAGGTTATTAGATATCCCAAGTGACAATTCTCGCGTAACATTTGAAAAGGGCCTTTCATTGTTAATCGATTCTTGAAGACCATAATAAAACCAAAAGAATATGCTTGGGATGACATGCGGCTTTAAATGAATCTCTAAGCATTGGGTGTAGAATTTAATGTTCAGAGAGAAAGTTTAAATGTGTGGTTAATACTTGAAAGTTTACTTGAATTTAAATTAATTAAATCTTCGTGGTACGTTAAATTTCAGTAGCTTACACTTACGCACATGGTCATGCCAATAAACCATGTCGTTCAAATAATTTATCTTAAAAGTAAGACCAATCTGAGCGGTTAACAATTTTTAAGAAAATCACGAGAAATTCCTTAAATTTGAAACTAGGTATATATTTAACGCGCCCCAACCACGTCAAATCCATGCACCCATAATTGTAATATGGGAATGTATAACTGCATGTACACCTAATACAGCTCCCTATAATTGACACTGAAGTATGGGCAAAACTTTTCTGCAATCAGCATGTCATAAAACATCAAACGAGAGTTGAACCCAGATCCTGATAAGCCAACCCCCTAATCAGTGTTCTATCTCACCATGTTTTTTTTTCACTGTCATCGTTCACAAATAAGAATTGGGAAGCGATCATAAAGGCTGGCGCACAATGCATAAGTTTCCGGGTGTTTTGGCAGACAACATCCTCGTAATTGGAGATTTCAATTTTTCGTCTATCAAATGGTCCATGAATGAGGCCGGGTTCCTCCATCCTCAATCCAGTTGCTCGAACATTGCACCTTTGGCAGCAGCTCTTCTGGACTACTACAGCACTGCTGATCTCTCGCAACTAAATAGTGTTTCCAATGCGAATCATAGATTGCTTGATTTATATTTCCTTAGCCGTGAGCTTGCTTCTAGTTGCTCGATTTATGAGGCGCCTGAGCCACTAGTTAAGTGTTGGAGGCATCGTCCATCTCTACAGATATCATTAATATTAAGCCATAATAATATTAGATTTTCGTAGCACTATGGATAGCATTTCATATGACTTCCATGGAATGACTGCCATTTTCGAGAGCATTAATTGGGGTGAAGAACGTAAATGTTTCCTCGATTATTTTTATGCAAATCGATCAGTTCGTACCGTAGAAAACGTCTGTCATAACAACTCATCCTCCACGGTCCAACTCCCGTTAAAAACGTTTTAAATCATCAAAACGGGCTGTTTTGAAAATGTTTTACAAACTGAGGTGTCGAGAAAGAAAAACATCCACATTAACAAGCAGTATAAGCAGCTCAACAAGCAACTCTACCTAGATCACCAGCGTCAACTTCAAAATAAGCTCAAATATAATCTTCCAGAATCACGTAAAAGGTCAACGAAAGGAATCGGGTCTGTCCTCCACGATGTTCAACGGGGATCGAGGAATGTCAAATGACGATGGTATTGTGGATCTATTCTGTCTAATCGAAAAACTTATTTTTAAAATAAAAGTGTCACTCCGGAAAAACATATTCCATAAAACTGAGCTCACAACACTATGTTCCTAGGAAGGTATCAGGAAGTTTTGTTTCTCTTTATTTTAGTGAACTTTAGTCATTGGCTAGTTCTTCACTTTTCAGGAAAACATATCAGAGGTATAAGGCCTGCCTTGGGAAAAACACAGTTGCAATTTACAGAGTTTTGGTTGGATGACATTTAAAATTTGGGAAACACAGAAGAACCAACTAGACCATTGACATTGAGTTAACTTATTGACTAATTCGAACAAGGCAGAGCTCCACCGTGGAAGGCGGTGCCCCCGTCCGGTAGAGATGCCCCGACGACTGAAAGGAAGGAATCAAACATTGAAAAACAAACCAGCGTCCTTCAGGAAGGAGATTAGGGTAGCCAGGATCGAAGGTTCGTCGTCCAGTATGTCGCCGATATTCCCCGAAAGGCCGTAGTGTTGCCAAACAAGCTCGCACTTTGGATACACGCAGAGGATATGCTCGACGGTGGCTGGAATATTACAGACGACACAGGTCTTGCGGAAAACTTCTCCGCCGAAATCGTGTGAGAGCCGGGTGTGACCTGTGCGAAGCCTGGAGATGACTCGTTGCTCCTTCAGGTTCCCAAGATCCTTCCATGGACGCGTGCTCTCCTTTATTTTCCTTAGAAGCGGTCCTTGGTTTGCCAACCAATCTTCTTACCACCTAACTTACCTGGACCGTAATCCCGGACCTTCACGGCAGTGACCACCATCCAATACTCATTCAGCGGGGTCGACACCTGTAACGACGCGGCGTCCAAGATGGCGGTACGACTAGGCAGACTGGGTGACCTATGAGATTTATTTCAATATTCTATTAGAGCAAAATAATTCACGTGCATAATCCTAGATGCGGCACGACTAGCCATTCCCCGGACTGGCCCAACTCCCGGGTGAAAAGCTCTTCGCTGGTGGTCTGAAGAGACAACAGCGGCAGTAAAAGCTAGACGAAAGGCACTTCGGCGTGTCAAGCGCCTCCCAGCCAACCACCCGCAAAAGGAATTAGCCCTACGAACATATAGAGAACGGCACAACCAATGCAAGCAGACCATCCGGGATGCCAAACAAAATAGTTGGACCGACTTCCAGGAGAGCATAATTGCTTCCCAGTCGTTCGCGAACCAGACCATCCACTGCCGATATCGCCAATTTCCCAATTCCACAAGACAGCATCAATTCTCCAATTAATCAAGACTTTTCCTTCGAGGAGCTGCAGTTTGCATTGCGATACAGCACCGACAACTCGGCCGGCCCAGACGAAATAGGTTATCCCCTTGTAAAAAATCTTCCTATCGGCGGAAAGGACAAATTATTGGACATTTACAATGAGGTGACTTTCCGGCCGCTAGGCGAGAAAGTTTGGTGATCCCTATCCCAAAGGCCAACGCCACCACACGAGGTACCGATAAATTTCGTCCCATTGCGTTAACCGGCTGCGCAAGCAAGGTGCTGGAACGCATGGTCAATCGGCGACTTCGCGCTGCATTGGAGGAAAATGGATACCTTGACTACCGGCAGCACGCCTTCCGGGCAGGAAAGGGAACCTCCACGTATTTCGCTTCGCTGGGAGAACTGTTAAAGGACATGCAGGAAAAGGGCCACCACGCGAAGATCGGCTTCTTATATATCTCCAAGGCCTTCAACAGAACAAGGACGCCGTTAGTACTTCAAGAGCTCATCACCTGGGGATTCAAGCGAAATACCCTTTCTTTTATGGGGCCTCCCTTAGCTCAGTCGGTAAAGGCGCAGCTACAAAGCAAGACCATGCTGGAGCTGGCTGGGTTCAATTCCCGGTCCGGTCTAGGAATTTTTCGGGTTGGAAAATTTCTCGACTTCCCTGGGCATAGAAGTATGATTGGACTTGCCAAACAATTATACCAATGCAAAAATGGTACAGGCATCGAAAGCTCTCAATTAATAACTGTGGAAGTGCATCTAGAACACTAAGTTGAGAACACGCAAAAAGCTAATATGCGATATGCAATAAGCTTGAAAAGCGAAGAAGAAGAGAAGATCCTTTCTTTTATCCGAGACTTTCTGGCAAGACGGTCGTTTAAAGTCGCCGTGGGGAACACTAAGTCTTGTTCCTTCCCGGAGGAAACAGGGGTGCCGCAAGGCTCCGTTATCGCGGTGACGATTTTCCTAATAGCGATGAACCGGATCTTTACTCGTTTGCCACCGTGGATGACGTGCTAGTTGTGGCCGCACCATCGCAAGGACCCGCATCTAAGCACAAGCAGCTGCATCGGCAAGTGCCAAATGGGCGGCCTCAGCCGGGTTCCAACTCTCAGCAGCAAAGAGTATCCGCTGTCACGCCTGCGCTTCCGGTCACCGAGTCGGCGGCGCTTCTATCAAGATCGGGAATCAACCGATCCCCCTGAAAAAAAACGATACGTATCTTGGGCGTTCTAGTTGATCGACACCTTCACGCAACACTTCGAGAGTGTTAAGGATAGCTGCAAGACCCGCATAAACCTTATCAAAACAATCTCCATGCCGCACCGCACCAACAACCGAGTACGGTCTGGAGCTCACCGCAATGGCCAAGGACAAACTGTTGCAAGACCTTACACCGGTTTACAACGGCTACATCCGGGTAGATTCAGGCCTCCTGCCCTCGACGCCGGCCGACACAGCCTGCGCTGAAGTCGGGGTACATCCTTTCCGGTTTTGAATCGACATCGCAGTCGCCATCAAAGCGGCTGCCTACTTGGCAAAAACATCGGGTAACGAATGGATCTATCTCCTCGAGGAGGGGAACACAGCAGCCAATACCGACCTACCCCAATAGCCAAGAGCCACTGGCTGGGAGGAAAAAGTTGGCGATCGAGACCATTAAACATCGAAAGCTGAATTAAGGACCCGTTTAGGGCAGGAGACAACTCGGCGGCGCTCAGACATTCCGTCGCGGAGAGGCTAAACTCCGGGTACCCCAGGCATACGCACCGTTTTACGGACGGGTCCAAATCACACAAGGAGTTGGGATAGGCATTGCGACAAAGATCTCGCCAACGAGCTTGAGCCTACCGCCACAGTGCTCTGTTTTTTTCTGCAGAGGCAGCGGCGATTTTCGAAGCAGCAATCAAACCATCCGACCGACCAGTCCTAATCCTCACTGATTCACACAGCGTAATTTCTACTCTCCGGTCCAACATGCCCACTCATCCGTGGATTCAGGGGATCATCAGACATGCCCCCTCCCCGACACAGTATTCGCTTGGGTTCCCGGGCATTGTGGCATCACTGGCAACTCTGACGCTGGCAGACTGGCCGGGGCGGGACCATCTGGTGCCAGGTACACCGATGAAGTTCCTCTTGCGGAC